ATGTTAGAATTTATAGCTGCTAATGGATGCATGGACTTTGCATTGTCCTGTTTAGTTGCCAACAGTAACTATTAATCAACGGCATTGAGCTTTGGTTGTTGGTTTTTTTTTTTCTTACTGTCACTCTTAATCTGCAGATAAATAAATCATTGAAATGACGTCGTTTGGAGCAGAAAACTGCTTTGAAATTTTTCTGACATTTGATTTAGAAAAAGTTTAGTTTTTTTATCAAATAAATCTGATCAGTGATCTGTTACACGTTCACCTTTATCATAAAAAATCGATCGTTTCTGCACTTGTAGGCTTTTTTAAAATTCTTAGTTTTTTTTTTTCAATTTCAATTTTTTGTCTTGTTGTCGTTTTTGGTTGTTCTATTATTTTCGTCATAATTGCTCGTGATTTTATTGTTTCAATCTTATTGTCGTCATTATAAATTAAGGGATAAAAAAAATTTGTTGAATAAAGTGATATGTGTGTTTGAACAAGTGGTGCTATAATAATTAGCCATTGTGATAAATTCGGAAACACATCTGATTTTTTCAAAATTTTTTATTGAAATTTATCAGATGATGTATTAAATCGGGTGCTGTGCTTTGAAATTCTTTTTAAAGTTTAGACAAGAATCGTATGACGTCTACCGTTAGTTTGTTTGGATTAAAATTTTGAGTTGTAACCTGTTTCCGATTCAAAATCTTGGAAAGGAATCTGCAGAAAATATTTTTATTCTAACTAAAATTTATGGTTTGTAGTGAAGAGTCAAATTCTTTTTCTTTTCTTTTTTCTGTTGTTTTAAAACTAATTTTGTTGTTTGGTCATTTGTCAGTTCAAGCGATTGTTTAGGTAATATACATTGAATGTTCGGTACGAAGGATTTTCAAAGCGAATTGGGGGTCAAGCTTTTTTATTCTGTGATTACCGAGAAAGTAACAATTTTAGATACGCTGGAAGCTTAATAGTTGCTCCAGAACTTGAAGCAGGCTAATAGATTTTGTAAGGGGTCTGGCGTAATATTCATTTTTTTTTTCTAGTGTTTAATTCTTGGTCGGGTTTAATTGTTCTCGCGGCGAAGTGACTTTTTAGATGGCTTTTTCAAGAGCCGACTGAGGTATGACTGTTGTTGTAACGGATCCACGTTAACCACCGCTCAATTTAGCTTGGAATGAAGTGGTGAAATGTGGAATAAGGCACTTGGAGTAAAAGGAAATTGTAGGAAACAATTAGAATTGTACCGGCTACGTGCTGGGCGGTTGGATCAGTGCTGGTATATTGAAGGGTTTTGGAAATTTTTTCTTGAATCATAGCTTTTGCGGATGGGAAGCATGTGTCTTTTTCTGTTGAACTTTTTTTGCGGTAGTGGATCATATGTACTTCTAAACTTCTTGTTACACTTGTAGCGAGCAAGTTGTAGAATAAAGGCCTAGTAAGCACTGAAGCTAACGGCTCATCTTTTGTGAGGTTCGCTAAAATTCATTGAAGGACATGCAAAACTTATTACTTTTCTCTGAACAACATAATGCAAAGGTAGTAATAATGCATGAATGTCTATAATGAGATTATAAAACTGTAGAGTGTACTGTAAATAACTTGATTTATGCAAAAAACATGATCAAGGATGAATCAGAAGCAAGAGCATCAATGAAAAATTTTCTTCATACTTGTATAATATTCGTGCTGTAATGAGTTTTAGGTACAGCCTTGTAGAAAACTGGATGGAGCAAGTCCTGTTTTAAGTTTAAATACCGGGTTGTTCATTAGTGGCTGAAAGAAGGTAACTTTTGGGCGTAAAGAAAGTTGACGGTAGGAAAATCAAGTTCTTATTTAGTATTTATCACCGTTTAGG